GATATTCCTATAAAAATCATGACTTGATCTAATTATATCATTTTAGCTTCTTTTCCATTTTCAGTATTCAAAACATACATATAAATGCATATCTTACCCTTATTTGCAGAATCCAACATATCTATATCAGATGCATATCGTATTTCATATAGCCGCGTTTTCATTTTCAAAATCAAGAATATTTACTGTTTATGAAATGCATAATGTACGTGGTGGTGTGAAATATACATGTATATTGTTGAGAACAATACTTTTTCTATTAGACTCGTCCATAGCTACAAATTCTATATCAGACTCTGCTTGCGCCTCTTCCAGTATAGGTCTCATAGCTGTGAACCCTTCCAATAGAATTCTGTATTGTACTCAATCATATATAACAACCTTTTGTATAGCTTTTGCAAAATAAATGTTTTTCAGCGAAAAGGAGAAAAAGGAAGACCCAAGAAAACTTACAAAGAAACAAGAACAGGCGATTAAAGATATCTTGACAATAATTCATAAAGACAAGAATACTTCAGGCAAAGTAGATATCGCAAATTATTTGGATAAAATAAAGCAACATGTGTCGGTTACACGGGAAAACTTAGATGAGTAAGTTATTGTTTGAATGATATGCAAATGTAACTAATGTATATATACTTATAGTAGTGATGGAAGGTGATTTTGAATCTGAAAAAAAATGATAAAAACTGTTTAGTTCACACTTGAACAAGCATTTCTTTATAAAGTCAACAATTATAAAAAATATATATAAGCATTTACGCATCACACGTTCACAGTTTTATTTTCCTAAACAGTCCAATGAAAAGGCGTTTATCAATTTCTATGAAACGATATTCAAGGTATCGAAAACTTTTCACATATTCTTGTTTTGATTTGCTTAAATGGCATAAAAGGATATTACGCGTATGCGTATATAATGTAGTTTCAACGCATTGGAACAAGAGCAAAAAGGAAGGCGGTATTGCTTCCAAAAACGTCATAACCTGCATTTTAAATCTTATGATTTTTCAATTATTCTAAATTAAGCATTTTTGTTGACATTCTGTCTATGATAAAGAAAGCATTGAAAGGCATATTTTTATTTTATGCATAGTGTCTTCTGCATGAATCTAAATAGTATCATGTACAATCTTGCTTTAAGAATCGAAACAGAAGTAAATTCTTTACTAGAGGAGATTAATGCATGGGATGATACAACACCTCTTAAAAAAGCAAAAGGAAATGCATGCAAAGAGGTAGAAGCTCTCCGTGAAAGTCGCTTGAAGCTTCGCGATAGAAAACTTGATTTGAAAAGGTAATACTGAAAGTCAGTAATATTGTATCTCATATACAAATTGTGGTCCATAACCATATTAATAGTAACTTTTTGAAGTAAGTAGTTTTTAAATAGTAAAGTTTAATACTTCGTTAATTTAGTCATTTTCATATCTCAAAGAACGAATGTTCATGCATTAAACGGCCAATTGCATTTTTGATAATATAACGTTTGATAATATTATTTGAATAACATAGCATGCTACATTTAGAAAATATACCCTGATTTGGAGTTTATTGAGTATAATACAGCACGCTAACATAATCACTAAAGTCAAAGGACTGAGTGAATAATGACAAACATGTGCCAAAAGACCAGTCATATGATGTCAGAAAAAACAACTTCTCTCCACAATGTATTTTATTTCATAATTAAATAAATTATCTTTCCTGTTAGGATGTGAAAATGGATCTTTTTGCTTTTCTTTAAATTTCAATAACGCTCAGTTCAAATACTTCGTGAGGTATATTTCTTCTGACGTTTTTACTTTCTTGTACGGGCAAACTTTGATCTTTATTGAATTGCTGTACCAGGAATATAGGCATTTTTATGAAAACTATATTATTCAAGATGTTATGTTTTTGAAGATCACAAATATACCTCTTGCCAATATTATACAGTGGACATGACAAAGAGGATGTTGCGCGGAAAGAGAAACGAAGTCAAGACCAAATGATTAAAGAAATGTGGGCAATGATTAGGCCTACATTCGGCAAAGTAAACTCAGGGGGAGATGAAATCGGAAAAGCTTTAGCAGGGATCAAGAAATACGTTTCAGATTCGCAAATTCGTCTATCTGAATTCAACGAGTAAGCTTTTTTCACTATGATCAGACATTCACAGTATTTTAACATGCATAATAATCTGATTTCTTCCGACATTTCGGAGGCGCAGCAGTAATGTTCTTAGATATAGTTGTATGTAACTGATGTTTAGCGAGTTTGAATTTTTGAATCAGTTTTAAAAATATTGCCTTAACATGAAATGCTCGTTTTGCAAACTTTTGGGGGAGAGAAAAACAATATTTTATTTTGCAGTACCAGTGTCAATTCCAAATCGTATTTTGATTTCGTTCGTTAACTCATGACAAAAAATATTTATTGAAAATTTGCAATTCAAAACTACCCGGGAGTATTTAACAATGATATTCATAGGCTAGAATATTGTTAACTGAATTGGAAATGAGAGCCGTGGCTTCCAACTTAATATGGACAACGTTTTTTTGTTTTTTCATACATCTGTCAGATCCATTCTAGAAGAATTAAATGTTACATTTTAATGAAATGATTATCATAGAAATCTATCGATCGGTTAAAACTTGGTGGTGGGATTTTAACATGATCAACCCATGTTATTTTGTAAAATAAGTGGTAAACTTTGAAAAGAGTCCGGAATTTAATAGAATTTGGCGTTATCTTTAATCAAGCAGTACATGTTTAAATGTTGAAAATTGAATTTGAAGTTACTTTATCGTATCATATCAAATTTGCTTTAAGTATCGAATCAGAAGTAACATTATTACTGGAGGAGATTAATGCATGGGATGATACAACACCTCTTAAAAAAGCAAAAGGAAATGCATGCAAAGAGGTAGAAGCTGTCCGTGAAAGTCGCTTAAGGCTTCACAAAAGAAAACTTGATTTAAAAAGGTAATACTGAAAGTCAGTCATATTTTATCTCATATACAAATTGTGGCCCATAACTAACTTTATAGTAACTTTTTGAAGTCAGTATTAGTAAAGTTTAATACTTCGTTTATTTAGTCATTTTCATATCTCAAAGAACGAATGTTCATGCATTAAACGGCCAACTGCATTTTTGATAATATAACGTTTGATAATATAATTTGAATGATATAGCATGCTATATTCAGAAAATATACCCTGATATGGAGTTTATTGAATATAATACAGCACGGTAACATAATCACGAAAGTTGTAGGACTGAGTGAATAATGACAAACATATGCCAAAAGACCAGTCATATGATGTCAGAAAAGCAACTTCTCTCCTCAATGTACTTTTTTTTCATATTTAAATTAATTGTCTTTAAATTTCAATAACGCTCAGTTCAAATACTTCGTGAGGTATATTTCTTCTGTCGTTTTTTTTTACTTTTTGCACGGGCAAACTTTGATCTTTATTGAGTTGCTGTACCAGGAATATGAACTTTTTATTGATAACTATATTATTCAAGATGTTATGTTTTTTGAATATCTCAAATTTACCTCTTGCCAATATTATACAGTGGACATGACAAAAAGGATGTCGCGCGGAAAGAGAAACGAAGTCAAGACCAAATGATTAAAGACATGTGGGCAATGACTAGGCCTACATCCGGCAAAGTTTACTCAGGGGCAGATGAAATCGGAAAAGCTTTAGCAGGGATCAAGAAATGCGTTTCAGATTCGCAAATACGTCTATCTGAATTCAACGAGTAAGATTTTTTCACTATGGTCAGACATTTGCAGTATTTTAACATGCATAATAATCTGATTTCTTCCGACATTTCGGAGGCGCAGCAGTAATGTTCTTAGATAAAGTTGTATGTAACTGATGTTTAGCGAGTTTGAATTTTTGAATCAGTTTAGAAATATTGCTTTAACATGAAATGCTCATTTTGCAAACTTTTGGAGGAGAGAAAATCAATATTTTATTTTGCAGTACCAGTGTCAATTCCAAATCGTATTTTGATTTCGTTCGTTAACTCATGACAAATAATATTTATTGAAATTTGCTATTCAACACAAATGGTCATTATCTTATCTGGTTTGAAACATGTAATTTAGGTAAATATATGCAAGGTCAATATCACTAAAGATGATAAAAAATTAATAAAAAAAAAGATGATAAAAATATAGCAATAATATCCAGAGCATATCTCTTCGACGCATGTTGAGCTGCTTTTAATGAAACTTCATTGAAATGTTCACCACTTTGAGAAGCAATGTCACGTGCATGAACAAGGTTGCTAGGTTAAATGTTAAGATCACACTTAGAGGTCATTGAAAATTGCTTGTTCGAAGCCGAACTTCTATATTTATCTATATTTATCGGGGGATATTAATGTAACTTGGCACAAATGTTCACAATTGTGGGGCTTATAGTGCATATAATCCAGGTCCCTGTTACCAAAATTAAGGTCACATAGAGAGGTCAAAGTCTGCGTACGGGGACTATATAAGCATCACTTATTGATGGATTGTAACACAAATGATAACTATCATGACTACAAGTGTGATACATGTATTTAGGTTTATATTTGCAATGTCTAGGTCACAGGAGATGATATAATTTCCAGATATTTTCCGGATATTGCTTAGATGTTTTCCTTCTATAAATACCACATCTCTGTCAAAAGCTATTTTGACGGTCGAATTTTATGGTAATGTTGCCCTTGTGTGCATTATAAATTTGAACTCCATAACATGCTATATTTAGAAAATATAACCTGATTTTTACTATTTTAGTATAATACAGCACGGTAATATAACACTAAATGTTTGTATTTTTCATTGAATGATTCCGAAAATGTGATGAAAGACATATACTGTGCAATATAATACCAAAATGCACTAAAAACAATATATTTTTCAATTAAAACACGAAAGTTTTATGAATCAGTGTCTTCCAATCTGCTGGAAAAAACTATTGCTAAAATTACAATTTAAAAAATATTAAATAAAAATATGTAAGCTCTGTGGTATTTCCTGATCTTTGCAATCTAAATTGTACTGTTTATCTGTATGTATTTTCCTGTATAAGTTTATTTTTATAAACTATAATGATCTTGCTGGGCACCGATATGCAGCAACTGCGTTTAGATTTTTCACTATCACAGTTTGAGTTTGATACATACGGAATTTTGCATGACTACAGTTGCATCAAAAAATCATTTATGTTCATTTTCTTTTGACGGCTAAACTTTATCCTTGCATATCGTTGCTTCTTCCATAAAAGGACATTAAAATGCACAAAAAACATTTGTCTCGACTGGGATTTGAACCCCAGACCTCTCACACGCTAAACGAGCGCGTTACCCCTGCTCTACGGGGAGGTTATACGAAGAAAAACCTGAATAAAATCAAATAATTCTAAATTTAGAATTTCCATTTAGAGTTTGTAATCCTTATAAATTTGAGGTATTTTGTTCACGATAAACCTGTTGTTAAACACTGATGTAAATAATTTAGCGAAATTCTTCTTGCCAAAACAGTCCGACATATATATATTCCACTACTCGACAGTAAGATTTATTTGTGTTATACGCTCTGAAGTATTTGGTAATCGACATCGCTAAAAAAAGCATTTTGTTAACGTGTGTGTAGAAATTGATTATCGATCGTCGGCTGCCATAAATTCGTCCCTGTCCTTGAGTCAACATAACATCCTTTCTTTATTTTTCATAAAGTTTCAATACCAAATGTTCGTTTAGAGGGCGTTCAATTCTGATCACAATAATCCGAAGCTTTACGGAAATAACCGAGAAGTTTTCATTGATTAAAATGATATTCATCCGCGTAAATTGTGAGTGTGCATTTATTGACAATTCTGTAAACAAACGCTACTTTGAAACTTCGAATGCGTTGTGATTTGTTTGATACTTTTAACAAAATAAACATATTTACTTCTTTTACATCGCTAGTTTTAACTACTTGTTGTTTGGTTGTCGTGAAGCGCTGTTCCAGAGATTGAATGTCAGCATTGTATTTCCTGATCTGCGATCAGAAAATACAAAAATGAATTTCAATATGTTTGGCATTTTGCAGGATAGAAGGGCTTGCATTCAGAGTGGAGGAAATGGGTAACTTGATATTTTCATATCTAAGTGGAGAAAAACATTCTCAAAGTGACGATCCCCGTACACTTGTTGATACATTTAAAAGTGTGCATAAAAAACTGGTCAGGTACGTTAGTATAAATCAAATTTCATTAACTCAAATAAATAATTCGCGTAATTTTAGTTAACGCAACATTCTTCAGATATGATCCTTGAGCACAAATGGCAATATACATAACGAAAACGGTATCCTGGTTTAATCTTGCGGTTCAAAAATAAAACATTAGCTATAATTGATGTTGAACCTTATGAATTGCAAATGAGCGTAAGAATAACTTTGGACAGCACATTTTTCAGGTTCCACATCATTTGACTTTTTATGCCATGCCTATATAGTATGATATAATGCACCGCCCGCTCTGTCTGTCAGGAGAGTAATATATTGTATATATATTGTTTAATGTTGTGTAGCATAAACACCTAGCGTTCGTTTAAGCTTTAAAAAGATTGTAAACGCATATGATTTCACATAAAAATATGCAATTATGTGCTCCACAAACGCCTGTTTGAAACATACTTAAATACATACAGCTGTACATCTTATCCTTATATAGGTAAGTTTTACTCTATATTTATGAAATGAAAGTATGACACTTTCTGTTATCTAGTGCGATAATAAGTAAAGAATAAAATGATTTCCATATTTCGTATCTTAGCTTTTCAAGTTACACATTTATATTTTTAACAGTAAGAAAAAAATTAATCAATCCTAATAATTTTATTCTAAATTGTTTATAAATTCACGACGGTAAAGAAAATAGAAAAATGTGATCTACATTTATCTAATTGTTGAAAATATACATTTTTCCAACTATTCCAGCTGCAAAACTGAGACTGAAACACTTGTCAAGATTGTTTCGAGACTTGAAGTGAATCTGAACATCGACAGAAAATCCGGATCAGTTAAATCTGATTCAGTTTCAAATAGATGCAAAGCGATTAAGGAAACAGTAGAAAAGTAAGTGCAGTTTGAACATTCATTGACTATACATGTATTCTAAACGGACGCTATTTATCACTTTCTTCCCTTGATTTCAATAAAACCTTTACCTCATGAGCATATTGTGCAAAATGGCCGTTTTCATTGAAAAGCATCCTGTTACAAGTTCATACTGCTATGAAACTATGGCAAATGCTTCAATACTGATGAAACTTAATACAAATGTTGACTAGACCATAGACTCTGTAACAGCATGCTCAATTTGAAATTATCCGTTACAATGGCAACGGCGGAACGTTTCAAAATTGCCAAAAAATCAGTATTTTGCATTGTTTTTTTTTTTTCGTCAAAACTGATTTCAAAGTGCTGCAATTTCTCAATGGATTGATATGATTGATATAGAGTAAAAGGCCTTTCAGCGGGGGGGCGCATCCCCTTCTGGCAACCCCTTATGTACCTGTTTGATGGGGGACGGCGCCGAAAAAGTGGTCACTTTTTTACAACATTTCTCAAACGAAAAACAGTGTATAGGGCCTAATAAGGGTAGTTTTTTACTGTTTGAGGCCTTAAAGAGGGGTCTAAAAGCCGTCAAAACACGTCTAAACGAGGTAAAGGGTTAACAAAAAAGATTAAAAACCTTGGAATTACCAAACCTTCTATGTTAACACGTGGCCTTTCACCTAATTTTGGTGAAAAAATGTTGTTTTGTAGCATTTTTGATTTTTTAATTTACTCTTTACCTCATGAGCATATTGTAAAAAATGTCCGTTTTCTTTAAAAGCCTCCTGTTACAAGTTACAAACTGCTATGAAACTATGACAAATGCTTAAATACTGATGATACTTGGCACAAATTTTGACTGGATCATAGCCTCTGTTACAGCATGCTCAATCTTAAATTTTCTGTTACCATGGCAACAGGGGACGTCTCATAATTGCAAAAAATCACTATTTTGCATTGTCTTTTTCCATCAAAACTGATTTCAAAGTGCTGCAACTTCTCAATGGATTGAGATAGAGTAAAAGACTTTTCAGTGTTGGTTACACGTTACCTTACAATTGACCTGAGGCCAGTTTTAGCCAGTCACATAAATGCCAAATCTTTCTTTCTCTTATTAATTAAATTGTCGTCACAAAAACATTTAATGATATAACAACAGATGTATAATAAAATTTTAATATAACCATATCTACTTTTTATATTTCAGACGGAAGCAAATGTTTGACGAAATGCAGAGTATGCTTGACAAGTCCACTAATTCTCTTACGTTGTCATACTCTGAACTCTTAGACGAACCCTATCTGTTTCTGGAACCACGAACAAATGCGGATTCAATACGTAGAAAAGTTCCAGAGTGGCTACATGGCCATGCAGCACTAATTGATCGTATAAGTGCTTGCACAAGAGAAAACAAAACAAGGTTTAATAAAAACATGTTAAATTTGATAGCGTCTTTATTTAAATTATTTCGCTTTATAGTTGAGGCAGTTATTTAAGTATATAAGAAGTAAAATGTTTGATGTTAATTTTTCGTAAAAATAAAAGTTAACATTAAAGTGAGTATTGATAACTTACATTTATTTAAACTTTACTTCAAAAGAGAAGAAAATACAACACCACATAAGTATTTTCTTAAAGCACATTTGTTTCCAGAAAATGATATTTTTTTATGATTAAGGCAACAACATACTCGTATAATGTTACTACACGTAATGTAAATGTGTACATTTTATGTCGAAAGCTCATGGAAAACAAGTAAGTGTGTTATGTCAGTTCATTTTAAATTAATGAAAAAGACTGTAATTTGTGTTAAGTTTTCAGTTAAGATACGTCAGAAAAGAAGATTATAATAATTTAAAAGATCAGATGCGGACTTTGCATGAAGAGATGAGACAGTTAAGGGAAGACAAAGAAAGTGCGTATAATAGGTATGACAAAGTTACTTAATAGTAAGGCAGATCAGTGTTGAGTCAATATCATAAAGTATACAAGTTTATGCTTTAAATGTAGAAAGTTAAACATAGAAAGCGATGAAATATAAATAGATATCTTAATAAATTATACTAGTTATTCACTATGTATGTATGTTATTCTTCTCTTAAGGGTTTGACAAGAATCAAAGCATAACAAAGTATTATGAATTAACATTTACATAGTTAGTATGAGAATAATTACAATCCACACGATTTAGATCATATCTTTCTAGCTTGGTAGGTACAAACAACTTAACTAGTGATAACTTTTTAGTATCTGCACAAAACTAGTGATAACAGTTTAGTATCTGCACAATTTCAGCCTTCACATATCAAAAATTGTTAGAATAGAAAATTCATTTCTTAACATAAGCAATACGATTCTTCATTTCACAGCCCATAGTAGAATTAGTAAAGAAATATAGTCACATGACATTATCAAAATATTAATTTGTCACTAAAAGAATAAATATAAAACATAACGAAAGAAACATTAAAAAAACACACACAAAAAACATCTTACACCCGTTTAAAGATATCACTGTCCCTTTTATGTCTACATACTACATGCATTATGATTACGTTTCACAGGATCATGTTTCTACTATGCCAAAGCTTAGTTGTATTTTCTTTTGCAATGAAATGTAAATACGTATGAAGACTTAATGTTTATATGAATGAAAAAAGAAATTGTGCAAACTAGTTTTTTTTATCATATAACAATCCATTTAAAATCAATGATCAATGTTTATGATTATGCATTAATTTAAAAAAATGACGGAATATATAATGAATGAAAATTATAGGAGTTAATTTCAAACGGAACTCGAACAATTGTAATTAACAGATGTAAAGATTGACAAGTTTGGCTGTACAACTCAGTCAATACTTTCAAACGTTATCAATATTTAAAAGATAGATAGATTTATTTCATAATTATGCAATAGTATGGTTAAACATATTCAATGCACGACCAATTAATAAAAACAAAAATCAATGTATAAGAAATGTAAATATATCACAAACACCATACCTAGGAGAACTTAACCTCATATTTCCATTGTGGAGCTTATGTCAAAACGGGTTTTGCTGATAATATTGTAATACTGATAATGTACAAATTTTATTTTAAGTAAAATGTATAACATTGTAATTGATCTAATTATTTTTTATCTTTACAATATAAAATCTGTTATTAGATTATCAAAGGTCGCTGGAGCACGTCTGACGGACAACAATCCAAATATTGCAGATCTTAGTGATCCAAATCGTCCAACCAAAATAGCCGAACAGTATTCAGAGTTGTATGACATCCCCTGGACAGATGCATACGAAATATTGAAAGATAAAGATCAAGAAAACACGGATATTTTGTTGAAGATTATCGTAGTAAGAGGCGTATTAAAGGCCCTGTATGCCTCAGAAATACCTTTATTTACTTTATATTTCTCAAAAGCTTTTTGATTTTGGTTTACTGTTATAGTAATCAAAAAGTTACTCATTGACCAATTACCTGAACCATCTTTTTCATCTGTTGCTATTTTGGTAATCAGTACAGCTATAATGAATTGGCATTTTGTATGAAAATCAAATTACTACTCTGTTTATATTTTGCTACTTTTATGACAAATTATACCACATTTTTTGCTACTTTCTTCAGGAAACAAGCATCTAAAATTATCTTAAACAATTATTTAAACACTTTAGAAGAAGAAAATATTCAACTATTTCTTAGGCATGATGTACCTTTAAATTTAACCTGAAATATATACATGTATAGACAATAATCCAAATCTTAAATTGCACTGATATATGAGTGGTAAGCAATGAGTTAGTTTTATGTATGTTGTTAACAGTGTCATTAAAACCCAAATAACATTTTAAATTAAATTGTTGTTGATGTATAGAGGTAGAAACAACTAAGTAACAGGATGTTCCCACGGCGCATATCTTGCGTCAAATTAAAATATCTATATTTTTTCGATCTATCTAATAACATTGCTTTGATATCCTGTTACACTAAATTGAAAATGCATTTTGATATCTATTACTTTCTTACCAGGATTGTTATGAAATTTGTGGAAAAATATCTATGAATCATCAACGGAATTTGAAGAATGCTGTGTGTTATCCTGCAAATAATATAGAAGATGGACAATCATCAGAACAGGTAATAAATAATTCTTGTTCCGGTATTGGTATCTATACAAGTGTCCCGTGATAAATAATTTTACACAATGTAAAACGCAGTTGGGTATTAAAATATAACTTGAGAGCCGGGGCAAAAAAGGTTATTTTACATTTAAATCAATGGTTTCTTTGTTTATAAGGCTCTCTTACGGTAAAACATAACGTGCACTATGATCCTCAGTAGGAATACTTGTGTTTGTCTCTCTGTCAATCCGATAATTTTTTTCTTAGTTTTCACTTGAATACCGGGCCATGAACAGGCTAATCAAAAGAGCCCCAAAAAAATTTTTCAATTTTTCCATTTTTGGGCTTTTTTTTTCGGGGGGTTTTATTTTCT